CTGTGTCCAGGGCCAGTCCAGGGTGTGTGCGGTGGCACAGCCCTCCCGCACCGCCTGCCAGACCCAGCCCCGGCCTCCCCATGGGGCAGGGCAGGCCCCCGGGGGCCAGGCAGTGGGTGGAGCCTTGTGCGGCGGACTCTTGTCAGCCGCCCGTGCTGCCAGTGGTGGTGTGTTGGTGCCTCCTCCAGGCAGCCGGCAGTCGGCACTCTGGGGTGGTGCTCACGGTCCTGGTGCTGGTCCCTCTGCAGACGCCTACAGGTCCCCGCACAGCCCGTTCTACCAGCTACCTCCGAGCGCACCACGGCCGTGCCCCACCCCACTGCTGGCGGCGCCCACCCCACCTGCACTGCAGAAGCTGCTAGGTGAGCCCCACCTAGATCCGGAGCGCTGGTCATCCCTCTGGCCTGGTGGCGGGCGGGGGCCCTGGCCTGTGCAGTGGCACCCCATGATACCCATGTGACCCCACTTAGAAGGGTGATGGGGGACCTCCTGCTGGGGGCGGCGGGATCCCAGGCTGTCCCCACACTGGGTGGTGGCTGTGCCCCCCTGTGAGCCCCAACGCTGCCGAGGTGGGGCGGTGAGCGGTCCTGGGCAGAGGTGGCAGGGTCTGCTCTGGCTAAGGTGTGTTCCGTCAGAGTCTCCCTGGCACCCTTGCGTGCTGCTTGCACACCCCGCCCACAGCCCGCCCACGCCCCACCCACAGAGTCCTTTAAGATCCAGTACCTGCAGTTCCTGGCCTACACCAAGACCCCCCAGTACAGAGCCAACCTGCAGCAGCTGCTGGACCAGGAGAAGGTAAGCGCCCACACGCCCACGGAGCCCTCACTCTGCGAGGCCCAACGTGAGCCCCGCTGCCTGCCCTGCTGCCTGCCCCACGCCTGCCCCACGCCTGCCCCACGCCTGCCTGCACAGGGGGGGGCCCTGCCACTGTGGGGGGCCGGGGGGATGTCCCCGGGCCCTGGGTGAAGATCCGGGTGGCGTGTCCGAGCACCCTGGTGGTGATGCGGGCCCTGCGTGCCCCTGGCCCCCTGCGGCAGCTCCCAGCCTGCCTGTCTGCACCTCTTGCTGTCACCAGGGCTCCGATGGGGCCGTCAGTCTGGAGTGCCCGGACCTTCTCCGGTAGACCCGGGTTTAGCGTTCCTGCAGGATCCCTCCCCCTCAGGCTACACCCCGCAGGGCCCTCTGCGTGCACCCCTCCACACCCTGACCCCTGACCTGGGACTGGCAGGCGGCGGCCCCACACCTTCACCTTTGCCGTGTCGGGGTGAGGTGACCTGGAGGCTATGTGCACCTCTAGGGGCCCAGAGTCCCACGGCGAGGTGTCCAGACCGCATGGGGGGAACTGGCCTTGGGCCAGAGTGGCCAGATGCCCCAGCGGGCAGCCCTGAGGTGGAGCCTTCAGAAAGCCTTGTCCGAGCACGTGGGCAGGCCTCAGCTCAGGGGCACTCAGGGGCCCTGCCCTGGTCCTGGCTGCTGCTGGCTTGTGTCGTGCTTCCCACAGGCCCTGGCACCTTCTTGGGTGCTGTGGGGCGAGAGGGTGGGGAGGGAGGCGGCCGTCTGCACGACCTTGGCTCTGGGACCTGGCAGCATGGCAGGGGAGGAGTGGGCCAGTGGCCCTGGAGGGTATCCCAGGAGACTCGGTGGTGGGGGTGCTGAGTTACTGCCACGTGCTCTGGCAGTCTGGCCACCCCGTGACCTGAGCTGGCTGTGCTGTCCTCCCCACGGCCTCCCGAGTGACCAGGCTGCCCAGCATAGCAGAACCCAGAGACCCCCAAGACCCCCCAAGACCCAGAGTCCCCGTGCTGCCTCACGCAGCCGTTCCAGGTCGCAGCTGGTCTGACCACTCGCTGCGGCGCGGGTGGGGGCCCGCCCCCGCCGCCCCCGCG